GATTTTTATGACTTATAGATGAAAACTCTTTTGGGGCGCTGGAAATTGCTGCCCATTTGGGGGACAAGTTCTTGAAATAGTGACCTAGCTGTCACATGGCTGATGTCTGACGGGGTGGGACAGGGCGATCGATTAAATGTCCACGATTCACGCCTTCCAAAAGCCCAACAGCACCTAGCATAAGGGGTGAATGTCCCTGATGAAACGAGAGTGAAAAAGAGAGTTTACGATGCATATGTTGTATGTAGCAAAATTCCACTATAATCAGATTATAAGCCCATAACCACATAGGTCCATACTGTTTTTTGTGTGTAGTCTCCTACCTGAATCAGCAGTCCTTGGGCTTACAGATGATCGCCCAGAGAGGTATGCCCAAAAAAACGTCAGTCCTGACTTTTTTGTGACGGGTAGGTTTTAGAGACCGCTGGAATAAAACACTGGCCCTGCACACAAAAAAACAAAGAGAGTAAGAAAGCAACCTCAGACCTGGAAAAGCACATGTGTTAATTGCAAGCTGAGCAGATGAGGAATTATGGTGATTCAGCATGTCCCACCTTGCATTCTCCTAGAGCAAAGTTTTTGGGCCAAGCTGTCACATTCGGGAGCAGGTAGTCGATCTTCTTCTTGAAACTGAGCAGTTCGTCCGTAGCAGCTTTTCTCAGCGCTTTACGATGTCTTCATATCGCTAAAATCGAGTCCTGTAAGATGAGAACAGATTCATTTAATGTTGCTGTTGAGCATCAGACGCGTGTGGGTGTGTTTGTGTTTATAGGCGTGAGTTATCTATTAAAAAAAAGAAGCTGCTTCATTTGATGTCATAACCATGATTCAGGATGTTTGAGAATCGGTGAATCATGAGGGTCTTGAATCCCAGAATGTTGCTGCTTAGAGTAAAGTATTGCAAGTCCTGATTGGTGGGGGAGAAACAAGGGTCAGCCGATGTTTTATCAAAAAAGACAGACACTCAAACAAAACTCACAAAGCTAGAGGTCCTGTAAATACTCACCCCTGTAAATACTCACGTGCTTTATTCTTATTCTGATTGTTGATTTTATTTATGTCTTGGTGTGATAGTTGCATGTTTAATCTTTTATTTTACTACTTTCCTTCTATTTTTTCTATTTTTTTTATTGCCTGGTTTTAAAGCACCGTGGGTCCGAGAGGACTGAAATTTCATTTGTGCTGTATGTCGTGCATGTATAGCACATCTGACAATAAAGTTGACTTGACTTGACTTGACTTGACTTGTACTAGATATGATCGTTCATGGAAGGAGAGCTCACTTACCAAAACACAGGGGGAGTACGAAGAGAGGAAAGCCACAAATCTTTAGGTTGAACATAGTGGAGCCTCTGCTGTTGCTGCTCCTGTTGAGGTTGTTCCTTTTTTTTACGCTGCTGTGGGTCTGTCTCCTGGTGGAGGAACGACTCCTGTGTCTTTTGAGAATCCACGATGTAATGAAAATGAGAAAAGAGTGAGAGCTTTGAAGATGTATACTGAAGAACAGATTACTGTGTTAAACACATACATTCCACATACAGCATGACTGTGACACACTAACTCCAGCTTACCTGTACTTGGTCTCCTTATAATGAATAAATGGCTTTCCTTCACTGTCGTAGTATCCAATAGATTGCAATCGAGAGCTTCTTCGTGGCATAACTGTAAACCAGCTGTCGTAGTATCCAATAGATTGCAATCGAGAGCTTCTTCGTGGCATAACTGTAAACCAGCTGAGAGAGCAAAGGGGGGATCAGTCATTCTCTGACACAAGGCATGTGCACTTTTAGTTTTTTAATTGTTTTGATTGATTTCCACTAATAGATGCAGCTCAATACACATGAATAGAGTTAAGATTTTGAGCTTCACACAAAAAAAAAAAACCCTATACAATGTATTCAGGTCTTATTTGATATTATGGCATCAGATGTGAAAATGATCTTTAACTTCTTTTATCACCTCTGCCAATGTCAGTTTTTAGCATCAGTCTAATCTACTGTATATCTATACTATATGTTACATTACTGCATTCAAGTTTAAATGTATGTTAAGGTTCAAAAGAGTAGCTTCAAGTTCAAGTAACTTTCCACCTGTGCATGAAAGTAACCAAAACAATGTAAACTAAATTCAAATTTAAAATGTTTTTGGATTAAATTTTAGATGATTCATGGCCATTGCATTTTCTTGACAGGTGTTTCTAACATTTTGAGACCCATTTACATACGTTGGACAATAAGAAACACCTTTCACACAGACAAATATACATTATATACATTATATAGAACAGAAACCATATGGAGGTACTGTTGCTGTGCTTACTGGGTTTTCTACAGATCTGTGATAGAAATAACGACATACCTTCTCTGTACCATGAAAAGATCAGTCAGTAGAGTCGTAGATCCAAATGTCTGTAGTAATTGCTGGGTTTTGAGTCTGTTTCTTCAGTAGTTCTGCGTTAAGTTCACTCAGGGACTAAAATGAGATTCAACCCACAATCCACACACACTGTGACGTTACGTTCGGTTCGCGTGATCAGAGCTATAGAACGACAGAACTCCACAACGTTCGGACACGGAACACACACACGCACGCACGCACGCATACGCACGCACGCATACGCACACACACGCCAGTGGTGGAAAGTAACTAAAGTACATGTACTCAATTTGGAGGTAGTTGTACATTACCTAAACGTATTCATTTCACATATTTCTATATTTAAGAGGGAAATGTTGTACTTTTTACTTCCCTACATTTAGCCTATTTCACTGTTATAGTTACGAGTTACTTCGATTTTACAAACATCAACTTATTAAATATGTTGCATTGTTGGCCCCACATACCCATGGTGTTTTCTGGTTAGATCTCCTGAGGTTGGAGTTGTTGGGTTAGGAGTAGGCTGGGATTTTCCTCTTGTGAGTGTGAAATAAAGTTTGAATTGAATTATAACACATAAGAATGATGAACTTGAAATTTGCCCCCTAAGAGACCCCAAAAAGTATTTTTTTAATCTGTTATTTCATTTCATTTTCATTTTACCCGAACCACACTGCCTTATAAAGGCAATTATTGTATTATACATGTTCACTCAAGCACACTACAGTACTGCACAACCTGTCTACGTTACAGTTTATTCATTTTATCACTACATATACCACATTATTTTATATTATAATTATATTTATTCTATTTCATATAGCCTATATATTGTGTTCAATGTGTATATTTTAACTTCTGCATCATTTTAGCTAGTGTCTTATGTCCTAGATTCTCCTTTTCTCCTTTCTCATGTACCTTCGTGATTTTCTTTTTTATGATATATTTTATATATATTGTTGGATGTGTGCAGAACATAAAAAAACTTTGGCTCCATAATTTATTGCTCTGAAATGGACTATTTACACTGTTTTTTACTTAAGTAAAGTATGTGTTATTTAATTTGACTGCATGGTCAAATCATTTGCTTAGGCAAATTCAAAGAGCTACATGGAGTATAGACAGACATTAAAACGCAATGTAAAATGCAATGAACAAGGAAATTAAATCAAATAGAGTAGAAAAAAAGAAAATGTATTAAAAAAAGTGGAAAGACAAGGGAGTTACAATAGACTCAGCTGACTCCTGTCAGTGGAGTGCTGCTGCCGCCATGTGTTTTAAAGAGGCTCTGCAGGCAGAGAGCTGTAGACAGTTTGTGCAAACACAATCATACTGATATAGACAGAGGAGGATCTCATAATGGATGAACACTCACTGTGAAGACAATTGCTTTTCTTTTAGCTCTTCAATGGACCCAAATGATAACTCAGCATTGAGTTTTTAGTGACC